CAGCTTGGGAGTGATCCTGGACTCATCGCTGAGCCTGGAAGCCCAGGTTTCAGCGGTGGCCGGGAGAGCTTTTGCACAATTAAAACTCGTGCGCCAGTTGCGCCCGTTCCTTGGGAAGTCTGATCTGGCCACAGTGGTCCACGCCCTTGTTACATCCCAAATAGATTACTGCAACGCACTCTACGTGGGGTTGCCTTTGAAGACTGTTCAGAAACTTCAACTAGTCCAACGGGTGGCAGCCAGATTAATCACCAGAGCGTCATACAGGGAGCACACCACTCCTCTGTTACGTCAGCTCCACTGGCTGCCGATCCAGTTCCGAGCACAATTCAAAGTGCTGGTTTTGACCTTTAAAACCCTCTACGGCTCCGGCCCAGTGTACTTGTCCAAACGTATCTCCTTCTATGTCCCACCACAGAGTTTAAGATCTTCTGGGGAGGCCCTGCTCTCGGCCCCACCTTTATCAAAAGTGAGGCTGGTGGGGATGAGAGACAGGGCCTTCTCAGTGGTGGCCCCTCGCCTGTGGAATTCACTCCCCGGGGAAATTAGGTTGTCAACATCCCTCCTCTCCTTCAGGAGAAAGCTGAAGACATGGATATGGGACCAGGCATTTGGGTAGTCTGGCAGGGTAACAAGATAATGATGACTAGAGTTGGAAAGGACTATGTCAATGCTAAACGGATTGACGGATTTTAGAACACGATGAACGCAGGCTTTAGAGCGGTTTTAGTTGGTATTGTATTGTGTTATATTGTACTATATTAATTGTTTGTTTTTAATCTATTGTGTTTTGCTATTGCATTTTATTGTAATTGTGGGCATCGAATTGTGCTGGATGTAAGCCGCCTTGAGTCCCCCCTAGGCGGTGAGAAAGGCGGGGTATAAATGACCGAAATAAATAAATAAATAAATAAATTAAATTAGCCTCCCCATGTAAAGTGGTACCTAAATTTCCTATTTGACAGACACAACTGTCTTTTGGGCTGCAAAGGCCGACAGCAAGCTAGACTAAAGGTCAGGAGCTTACTACAACCCAGGCTGGCTTTGAACTCATGACCTTTCGGTCAGTAGTGATTTTAAACCAGCTGCATTAAAATCACTACTGACTGAAAGGCATTATAAAACAATGCTTTCACTGTTAACCACATTACCCAAAGTCATAGTCTGGGCCATTTCAATGGTCACTGCACATAATTCCTTATTTATCTATTGCAGAAGATCATCTAGGGCTTGATCAAAAAGCCATGCTTTTACTTTCTTATGGAAGGTCAGGAGGGATGGGGCTTATCTAATATCTCTAGGGAGGGAATTCCACAGCCGAGGGGCCACCAGTGAGAAGGTCCTATCTCTCATCCCCGCCATGCGTGGCTGCGAAGGAGGTGGGACTGAGAGCAGAGCCTCCCCCGATGATCTTAAGCTCTGAGATGGTTCATAGGGAGAGATCTGCTTGGACAGGTAAGCTGTCTGTTATTTATATGGATTTTGTGAGAAGAATGCCTCTCTAAAAAAAGTAATGCTAGCTAGAGTTTGTGCAGGACTCCCTAGTGTAGCAATCAAATGCCAGATTGGAAACTCTACTGCTTCCATAAACCCAAACAATCTCCAACTGAGGACAGTTCTCTTGAGGTCATAGTGGACAGCATTTGCTAAGTCTAATTTCAGCATGATGGTGACTGGTTTTATAACATCTGAAAACAAGATCAGAAAGCAATATTTTGAGTATCCACCCTCGATTTACATGAACATGATCTTATCAAAAAATAGAGCAGTTTTATCTAATTTACTGAATGCTTCTCGTTGTATTGCAGATGGAGTTTTCATTATAGCTCAGTTAAAGAATTTCACAGCTTCCATGTGGCCTTTCCCTGTTTAATTCTCCTCACCACCTGCACACCTCATCAGGATTCCTCTGGCATAAATAGTTCAAGAGGCAGGTAAACAAATGACACTGCATATAGCACAAATACAAAAAACGTACTGAAGATGTTTACTGAAATAAAATTACATAGGTACATTTGAATTTCTGTTATGATCTGAAACCACTGTGGCCACAATCAAGCTAAAGTTCATCCTCTTTAATTTTCACAGCTATCTTCATGAATTGATAAACACTTACTACTATTATTATATTTATTTATAGCTGACTTTTCCCTCAAAATTGCAGCTCCAGGCAGTTTGTATATTTTAAAATATTACTGTGAAAAACATACAAAACCCCAACATTAATTAAACTGTCGAAGCATTTCATGGCTGGAATCACTGGGTTGCTGTAAGTTGTTCCAGAAGCATTCTCTTCTGACGTTTCACCTGCATCTATGGCAGGCAACCTCAGAAGTTATGAGGTCTGTTGGGAACCAGGAAAATGGGTTTTAGGTAAGAAGCCACACCTTGAAAACTGCTAGGCCATTAAATGTAAACAGCAAGGGAGCCAACTGAAACATTTACACCTACCTCCAACGGACATGAGTTCTTTCTCCCGCCCTGGACATTCCACAGATATTAAACTCTATTTTCCTAGTTTCCAACATGCTGGAGAGTGTTAGAGGCAGTAAATGGACACAATGTATCACTATAGAGAGAGGAAGAAGGTACAATTAAGATATACTTTATTGGGAGATTTGTTACAATGTCAGGTTAAGGGGAAGAAAGGAAAGCAGGAAAATGGTTTTCAGTTGAGGCTGCTGCTGTGGCCACACTCCCAGCGATGCTGGCCCAATTGGATATCTAGGAACTGTGGAACTCCCTGCTGGTCAGATCAGCTTGAAGGCAGGGGGCTGCCTGTTGTCCCTCATCAACTTGACATGGACTGAAGGCAGCCTGAAATCTTTGTGTCCAAATGGTGCTCTGTGTGGATGTGTCCAGGAATGTATTTTCCAGGCCTTAAACCAGTATAAGCAAAATCGCATGGTACTGTAAGGTCCACAATGGACATCAGCACACATAGATGTAAACCACATTGCATGGTGAAACCAATTAAAGGATAGACATTCCGACACTCTTCACATGCTCATTGGAATTTGAAAAAAAATCAAATCTTCCATGGTTTTGAAGTTGAGGATATTGCAGAATCTTGAACTAGGTCAGAGCTGACCATTCTAGTGTATATAAGCACTGCCCAAGTCTGCATTTGGTTCCTGTGCTTTACATGTAGTTTTTGTCCTTCATTGCATGGGTCTACAGCCCGTTAGATCAGAGTTTCTTAAACTATGGGTCCCAGCCACAAATGGTGTCCCCCGAGCTCAATGTTGAGGGCCACATAACATTTGGCAATAGTAAAAGGTTTCTGAACACCACAATTTACACAAATCTATTAGCAACAACATCCAGGTTTTGCAGTGGATTCTATGGAAAATGCTTCATAAAAAGGGAAATCAGTCTGTTTCGCAAGCCTGGCAAATGCTAATTCAGTGTTTCTCAACCTTCCTAATGCGGTGACCCCTTACTAGAGTTCCTCATGTTGTGGTGACCCCCAAACATAACATTATTTTTGTTGCTACTTCATAACTGTAATTTTGCTACTGTTAAGATGTAATGTAAATATCTGATATGCAGGATGTATTTTCAAATCCCAAATACCTGATATGCCCAAATTTGAATAGTGATGGGATGGGGGTGATTGATTTTGTCATTTGGGAATGTTGGAGTTGCTGAGATTTATAGTTCACCTAAAATCAAAGAGCCTTCTGAACTCCATCAATGATGGAATTTAATCAAACTTGGCACACAGAACTCCCATGACCAAAAGAAAATACTGGGAGGGTCTGGTGGACATTGACCTTGAGTTTTTTGAGTTGTAGTTCACCTATATCCAGAGAACACTGTGGACTCAAACAATGGTGGATCTGGACCAAACTGGCACAAATACACAATATGCCCAAATGTGAACACTGGTGGAATTTGGGGAAAAAAGACCTTGGCATTTGGGAGTTGTAGTTGTTGGGATTTATAGTTCACCCACAATGAAATAGCATTCTGAACCCCACCAATGATAGAATTGGACCAAACTTCCCACACAGAACCCCCATGACCAACAGAAAATACTATGTTTTCTGATGGTCTTTGGCGACCCCTCTGACACCCCCTCGTGACCCCCACAGGGGTCCCGACCCCCAGGTTGAGAAACACTGTGCTAATTGATCATCATTAATGTTTGGTTTTGATACCTATTATACATACCTAAATATATTTTAGGTTGTATTTTAGATCAGGCATGGGCAAACTCAGGCCCTCCAGCTGTTTTGGACATCAACTCCCACAATTCTTAACAGCTTCAGGCCCTTTCCTTTTGCTTAAGCAGCTGTGGGGCCAACTGAAGCAGCTGAAGTCCAAAACACCTGGAGGGCCCGGGTTTGCCCATGCTTGGGTTAAACTATGTGATCCCTTATGGGTACACTTTACAATGCAGGATTGATGCACTTTGATGCCACTTTCACTGCTATGACTCAATGCTGGGGAATCTTGGGATTTATAGTTTGGTGAGGCACCAGCACTCAGACCTTGAAAAGCTACAACTCCTAACACTCCACAGCACTGACGACTTCATCACGTTAGAGAGAAAAAATCCACTTAAAATCCTTCAGAATTCTGGGGTTTGTAGTTTAGTGAGGTTGTCAAAGGCTCCTTCCTAAACTACAAAAACCGGAATTCCTAAACTTCCTAAACTACAAAGTCTAGAATTCTGCAGGAGGCAGAAACTGGATTTTAAGTGGATTTTTTTCTCTAGTGTGATGAGCCATAGCAGTTAAAGCAGTGTCAAACGGCATGAATGCGATAGTGAGTGACTTCAGACTTCCCCACTGAGGCGTCCTCCTGGAATGAAAAGCGCTTCTTTTGCGCATGCGCACGGAACCTGCCTTTCTCGCTCTGTCTGTTCCCAGAAGTAGGGAGCGAGCGTGCAATCCCCGGGCATGCGCTCGCGGACGCTTTCTCAATCGTTTGGTTAAGCCGGGAAAGGCGGGGGGGGGGGGGGGGGGGGGGGGGGAGGAGAGAGAAATAGAAATGAAGAAGCTCCCAAATGGGGGAGGAGCTTCCCGAGTGACGTCACTCCCGCGTTGCCCCGCCCCCCGTGGAGAGCGCCTGGGTGGAAACCCTTGCCGAGAGGGAGGACGTGGAGGTGGGTGAAAGTGGGAGTGCAAGTGGGGGGAATGGGGACGGAGAGGGAGGCAGCAGGGCGAGGAAGGGCCCCTTGAGGGATGGAGAGAGGAATGGGGCAGCCCAGCCTCTCCATTTGGGGGTGCATCCACACTGTAGAGTGAATCTAGTTTTGGAACCGCTTTAATTGCCATGGCTCAGTGTTCTACTTTGGCGAGTTTTCTGACCCACCAAACTCCCAGGGTTTGGTGGGTCAGAGGGCTCCATAGCAGATAAAGCGGTTCCAAACTCCCCGTGTTCCATACCATATAAAGCGGAGTCATACTGCATGGATTCTACAGTGTGGATGCCCTCTTGGGAGAGGGGAGGAAACCCGCGCCGTGTAAGCGAATTGCATCAGCATCCCAGCTCAATTGGTTCCTAAAGCAGCTGGAGTTTGTTGGCGGGTGAAAGAAAGGCGCTCTGCACATGCGCCGAGGCACTCTTTTGTCACAACTTCACAAGTCTCTGGCTCCCAACACCCTGGAAAGTGTCCTTCCGGCCCATCTTGCTGATGAAGCTCATTTTGTGTGCATGCGAGCAGGTTTGGCTTTTTCAAAGTTTCCCTTTCTCTGCTGATGAATGGGCACTTGGGCAGCAGAGGGGAGAAGGCATTGCCTGGAATGAAAGCACCCTCCTAAGCTGCTTTGTAAATCAAAATCTCATCATTTTGGTTAAAAAACAACCACCAAGTTTGTTTTCTTTGTCCAAAACTAGGAGCGTTTTAGATAATTTCCCCTAGATTTTGTAATAGCTATAATACATATTCCTACAATGAGTTATCTGGGAGATGGGATCCAAGTCTAAACACAGAATTTATTTACGTTTCATATATACCTGACGTAAAGGTAATTTTCTATAATATTTTCTATTTTTTTCCTTTTGCATAAAACAATGTTTGTGTATATTCAACTCTTAGAAAGCAAAGGCATCACTCAGCCCCTCTCCCACCCATGTAGATAGCTGTAAATTTTGGAGCATTTTGGTTTTCAAAATTCTGGATAAAAGTCTGTTTTAGCTGGATTTGGGTCAAAATTTTTTTGCGAGCCACGTTGAGGCCCTTGCTATGAGAGAGGCAGAGTATAAAATAGCCATGGGCAAACTTGGGCCCTCCAGGTGTTTTGGATTCCTACACCCCCTAAAAGTCTCGGGCCCTTTCCTTTCCCCAGCTGAGGCTGTTAGGGATTGTGGGAGTTGAAGTCCAAAACACCTGGAGGGCCCAAGGTTGTCTATGCCTGGTATAAAATGACATGATGTATTGTTTTTGTGGTTAGTGATGGTAAACGGCTTCTCTCCATGTTGTTTACACCAAGGTGGTACATCTTGGACTTAATTTTTCCTCTCCCTGAGTCTTGAAGTAACATAACAATTAGAAAAAGGTATCCATTAGTCAAACACATGACTTCAGCAAGTCCTTTCTGTGGACTGCCATCAAGTTTGTGATTCAAATTGGTGTGCAGTTCTGTGGGCTCTCCTTATTGTGCCTCTGCCACAATAAACAATGGGTGCATCTACTACACGGTAGAATTAATACAGTTTGATGCCACTCTTAACTGCCATGGCTCAGTGCTATGGGATCCTGAGAACTGTAGTTCTAAAAGCCTTTTCTGCGCTGGTGTCTCACCAAAATACAAATCCCAGAATTCCATAACACTGAACTATGGCAGTTAATGTGTCAAACTGCATTAGTTCTGCAGTATAGATGCACCCAATAATAGGAAATAGGCAAAGTAGATTATAAAGCAGGACAGTGAGATTAGCGGACATGCACATATTGTAATTTTACAGGAACTGTTCTTCAGTTTGTGGATTGAGGCCAGTACCAACTCTTGGTACTGGCCTCATCTAGACTGTAGAATGAATGCAGTTTGTCAGCATTTCAACTATGGAATCCTGGGAGTTGTAGTTTTGGTGATTGGTGAGGCACCAGCACTCCTTGGCAAAGAAAACTAAAGACCTTGTGAAACTCCCATGATTCCATAGCATTGAGCCACAACAGTTAAAGTGGTATCAAACTGCATTCATTCTGCAGTGTAGATGCACCCTTAGTGGTCCAACAAGATCACAGAAGTAGGTGTCTGTAAGCCGCAGATGAGAGACTTATGGCTCTATTGTTGCTTTGCACCAGAACTCACATTTTAATTTACTGTTGAATATGTTGTCTGAAGTTTCTGTTGCAAACCAAGTGCAGGTTCCTAACCTATACTGTATGTCAATGCACACTATATGACCTATGTTTATCTTACTAGTTTCTCTGGCGTAGTGGAAACATCTGAAAACTCAAGGAATCAACACAACTGGGCTTCAGGTCTTGGCATTGCTGAAATTAAAAGTCTTTAATTACATTTCTAGATCACACTACAGTCTAACTAGTTAGCAATCTAAGTAGTTCAGTACTCAGTTGCCTCTGGAAACTTTCCATGGGGACACAAATGTGCCAATTATTATATTTTAGCATTTTCTCAGGGATGTTCTACCTTTTTACCTAAAGTCTGATCTTACCATCCTCATTTTACTGACGTGTCTTCTCTTTAAGTCAGCCTAACTTAACCTGGTGCCCATTAGATAGATTAATCTGCCACCATCTCCAATCAGGATGATGGAAGTTGTAGTCCAAGCATATTTGGAAAACACCAGTTTGAGGATGTTGTTGTTTACCCTGAATTGCATCATTGTTGTTTACCCTGAACTGCAGCTTTCAAAACACTGATGGCCAGCACTTGTTTCTTTTTCAAAAACAAGGTCATCAACACCACACAATTATTGCATCATGATTCCACTTTAACTGCCATGACTGCCTCATACAAAACCCAAGCGTGGGGGGCTTGTAGTTTGGTGACAAACTAGAGCTGTCTGACCGAGAACTCTGAACATTTCTCCATAAACTACATATCCCAAGATCTCAAAGGATGTAACCAGTTAAAGTGGAAGCAGTTTCAGACTGGTATTGAAGAAAGATGGTTTCGCTGTGAGATGATTCCATACGAAATCCTAGAACCATCTCAACGCCCAGATGATGATGACACAAACCACAGAGCACTGATGGACCTTAAGGGCTTCCTTTTGTTTGTTTTTGTGAGAGTTTGTTGTCTGTTCATTACAGCTTGGAGATAGCTGTGAACTGTATTAAATGGTTAGTGTACATGGAGCCAAAAAGGCTATAACTCTTAGAGATTCAAGTGGAAATCAGCCTCCAATCAGCATCACTTCAGAGATAAAATTCTTTTCCTTTCCTAGGACACCAGATGTAAAATCTATGAAAAGTGTCTCTCCTTTGTTTGTGCTCACATATTGTGTACAGTAGCTTATCTATAAGGAGCCCCCGGTGGTGTTGAGCTGCTGAATTTGCTGACTGAAAGGTTGGTGGTTTGAATCTGGGGAGAAGGGTGAGCTCCTACTGTTAGCCCCAGCTTCTAACAACCTAGCAGATTGAAAACATGCAAATATGAGTAGATCAATAGGTACTGATTCGGTGGAAAAGTAACAGCACTCCATGCTGGTCACATGACCTTGGAGGCATTTACGGACAACATCAGCTGTTCGGCTTAGAACTGGAAATGAGCACCACTACCCAAAGTTGGACACGACTAGACTTAAAGGGGAAACCTTTACTAGCGTATCTATTTCTAAAATACACAAAGTTGTTCCTGCTTTGTGGCATTTCATTATCTGCAAATGAAGGTTCATTTTTGATCCATGAATTAATTGTTAAAGGCATATTTAAGTTGTCAGTAAGCTATATTTCAGAGGAAAGTAATGCCAAACCACCCCTGAGCATTTGTTATCTACATAAGCCCTGTGAAATTCACCTGTGAAAGTCAACAGGTGCCCTGAAGGGATCCACACACCTGTATACACACACTTTTATATCATACAAAGGTGCAGTCCTTTGAACCTAAGGGCAAACAGTTAGTTGCATAGGATTGTACTGTATAAAGAATCTATTTTACTTCTGCAGTCTTGATTTTCATTGACACCCCTCTTTTTTGCAATTCCAAAACATTTTGCTGTGTTGTTTTTGGAATTTTGTTTCCTTGTGAGATGCCTTGAGTGTTAACGTCATGGAAGAGAAGGTTATAAATTTCAAAGCAATATAAGCTAGCCTTGCAAAAACTTGTCTTTAAAATAATCCTAATTAATTTCAAAGGGACTGTGTTCCATACTCTTCTGCCATTGGAACTGAGGTTTTCACGTGTTCAGGAAAATAATGAAAGAAGCAAAGGTAGAAGGACTATCAGAGGACAAGGGAATGGATGTTGTTGACCTCGTCATGTTTTCAGTATGGGGCCCTATTCTACAGTATTTTTATATTCCTATTTTTGGACTCCTTCTCAGAATCACTGGGAGTTGTAGTTCAAAAAATAACTTTTGAAAGCTATTCTACCTTTTCTATGATTAGGCTATTTCTGTGTTATAGACTATATGATAAACCACCTTTTGTGATGGTACAAATCAGTCTAATACTTCAAATTAATCCTGATACCACTGTATCAGAGACTCTTAATAGTTTCAGTATCTTGCACAGAAAAAGTATAATTGTTGACACACTCTTTTCTAAGAGTTCTTTATTGTTATTGCTTGAAAATCTTATGTATTCCACCTAAGGCTGTTTTCTGCTTCTTTTAAGAGTTATGAATAATTCTGCTTTCATCTTTTCCAGATGTCTAATGCAATCGGGCACAGTTCAATTTCAGAACTGAAGAGCTTCCCTTGTTCCATTAAGGTAAAATAGAATATCTTGCTTTGTGTTCATGAGCGGTGTACTATTTTAGCTGTGTTTGGCTAGTTCATGAAATCAAGGGTAGGACAAATGTATTATAGTTAATCAGGACAAAATGAGAGCATTGTTCCCTCAAATAAAAATTGCTCCCAAATGAAATTTTCCTGCAACTTTCTAGTATCGCAGAGGCGAGAAACTGAAAATCAGTTTACACCAACAAATATTATATCTGCTGTATTTGTAGGCCCTTGGTATCCTTACCTGTCCGCCTTATTTGGCAGCTTAAGCCATGCAACAGAAATGACGTTTTATACAAAATCTAGGCCTGTGACTCTAACACTGTGACTTTTCTTCTATATGATTTTGGAGCTTTGGAAGCTTACATCAAGTGCTTTGTGCATACTAGATGGCCAGTAAAGATATTTTGCATTTTGAAATGCTCAATTGATTTCATTTATAGCAATGCTGAAGGAAAAATTCATAGAAAGTCAGAATTCTTATATATTGTGGGAAACAATGTTCTTATTTTGTTGGAAATAACAATCTTCTTCAAGCCTCCACTAGCTATTAGTTATGTATATAATTCAGATTACTTACTGTATTGTATATGTGTTTATTGGTTTGCAGATTTCCTTAAACTCTTTGTTGTAGGCAGGGCTGAAGACCATGTAACCAGATCTGGGGATATTCAGATTTAGACTTCATTTTAGAAGTGTGTTTGTATCAGAAGCAGTACACTACAGTTTTGAAGTTGTAGAAATAGAATGCGTTGGAGAACAGACTGTATTAGACTCTCAAACCAGAGAGAGGCTTTAGACTTTGGACTGTTACGATTCTAAGAAAGATGCCCCGTGTTATCTGCACAGAGAAACTACTTCAAATTCTATCTGTAACTGTATTGATATGCCGAATACCTGTATGCCGAATACATGAAGTTTGTGAGTAAACCAACTGTGTTACTTTTAAAGAAGTCTACTTTATTTTGGTCTTTTGAGAGCATGATTTAAACCAAGATGTTTTAAGGAGAGTAGATATATTTTTGAGCAATTGAAAGAAACACTTCTGAAACTGCTATATATAATTTTTTTTGTGCATTGGCATATCTTTGTCCCTAACAGTTCAGAGAGATATCTAGGATTTCAGTTTAACAGCTGAGAAACCAGGTTGCCTTACAGGAATATTACTGGATATTTATCACTAAGGAGAAGGTTGACTCAAGTGAGTTTTTAACTCTTCTCAGGCAATTCCTGGTCTTCCCAAATGGTAATAAATGCCATTTTCAAAAAGGTTATGATCTCTAACAAGGTCATCCCTTTCCTGTGACCAGTGGTTTCCCAAAAGGTTATGGAGATCCATAATTCCCAAAAATTTTGCCCTTGTTCTACTACATTCCTGGATTCTTTTCCAGTAAAGAAAAATCCATCATGATTTGATTTTAAAAATTGCTATAAGCTTTTGAAGTGGATGTTGTGGTTGAAATCTATCTATAAATCTGATAAAATAAGGGGATATGTTGCAATGTTACAGCCTGTTCATAGCTAATGTTGTTCCTAATGTTCTGTCTGTGTTTCTCATTAGTGTCCTTATTATTCCTTGTCATCTGCTTTAGACATAAAAATGTGTTCCTCTGCTTAGTAAGACAAACATGTTTCAAAGAAATGTTATCGAGTTCTGATTTAATTGTTTTTCCCCACCCAAGCCTCACAAATCCAGCTTCTTTCATTTTTCTTTCTCTCTCTCATTTTTCTTAGCTCTAAACATGTTTGTTATTCCTTACCACTACTTCAGTTGTGTACTGAAAGTGGTGATCCACACTAAATGTGCTTTTCCAGTAGGAGCTTTTCCAAGCATCCCTGAATTTTACTTACATAGTCCCACAATTTATGTGTCAATCATTTATGCCTAGGTTCTTATTGACGATCATTCCTAATTCTTTTTAACAGGATGATTAATGTTTTGGAATGTATACCTTGCAGTGTTATTTCCAGTACAGTCTGCTTATCTGTTTCATAGATTGTATTACTGGGACCCCTTCCACAGAGTTGAATAAAATCTCACATTATCTGCTTTGAACTGGGATATATGGCAGTGTAGACTCAGATATTCCAGTTCAAAGCAGATACTGTGGGTTATTCCGCCTTGATAGTCTGGGTTATATGACTTTGTGGAAGGGCCCTAGGTGAAAACCTACAAGGACACTTTTCAAATTGCCAGGCAGTTAAATTTGATGATCCACAGGCTATTCAGTATGGATAAGCAGTAGGAAACGTATATTTGGGTCCAATGTGAGACAGCTTTTAATATTTAATGGACATTCCCTCACTTTGTTTAGAGACAGGTGTGGGAAGCCTAGTTGCTATTTTGTCATAGGTGTGGTCACATGGCATTTGAAGTGAAATTTGTCCTTCACCAGATGTCTGTGTAACTTTCATATTACCAGAAGCAGCCTGATTAAGTTTCAGTTTGAAAAGTTTCTGTTTCTCAGAAAGTAGACATAGAGACTTAAGGGTTTTTGGTTGGAAGAAACATCCTCTTTCCTCCTTTCTTTCTGCCTCTCTACATCTCTGGAGTACACTGCTTCCCCTTAGAAAAATAGAGCAATTTAGAGGCAGGGAATTAAAAGCAGAGAATCTTTCTTGAGAATAACTCCTTTTTGTCAACCACATCATGTGCAAGTTTCAGTCACATTTCAAGTGTTTGCAGGGCTATTGTTCTGTTCAAAATGGCCTTTTTGGAATGGTTCTCCAGCTGCTCTGTCTTATTTTACTAGTTGTCATTGCACCAGAATTGTAGATGGTTTCTTGTACAAGAGACTCTTGGTAGGAGAAACGTGCTAGTTAAAAATGAGCGAGTGAGAGGTACTCTTAAAGGCAAGAATCCCAGCAGTTTGTTCTTTTTTTAATCTTTCTTTTCAAAAAGTGTATTTTAGTGTCAAGAGGGATACATTGTAGAAAGGTATTATTACATATTATATGTTTGCATCAGTTTCCTTTGCAGAAAACAGTCATTGAGAGGCATAAGGACAGACATCCATACTTAATAAAATGAAACAAAATCAAGTATCAGTCACAACGACTTATAACAATATCAACTATAACTAGAATAACAAATTAAACAGTCTAAAAACAATACGATACCATTGCTTTTCATTTAAATTTACAGCACCTTTCCAACAGTACACAGCTAAGTATTAGTAGCTCTGGGGAAAGAAGAACATTTTGGATGCAGTCCAGGCTTAAAATAGTTAGCTCTCTTTTTCTTTTTGGATCACAGAAGTTTGTGTGGGATGGGAAGCAGAATGGGTGGCTTGGAACTTTGGTGATTAATCTTGCAGATTAGTCCATAATGTCACTTCTAGGAATATAAATAGCCTTCCCCAGTCTGGTGCCAACTAGATGTTTCAAATTTATTTATTTACTTCATTTCTACCCCGCCTTTCTCGACGCAGGAGGAGACTCAAGGTGGCTTACAAATCTGGCAAAAATGTAATGCTGCACAGATAAACAATAAAACACATCAAAATATAAAACACTCCAAACATATAAGCAATTAAAATACATATCAATCAATCAGATTAAAAACCATCTAAAATGCTGAGTCATGATCTCTTATTTATTTATTTCTGGCATTTATATGCTGCCCTTCTCATCCTGAAGGGGACTCAGAGTGGCTTACAAGATACCGTGTATACTCGAGTATAAGCTGACCCGAATATAAGCCGAGGCACCTAATTTTACCACAAAAAACTGGGAAAATGTATTGACTCGAGTATAAGCCGAGGGTGGGAAATACAGCAGCTACTGGTAAATTTCAAAATAAAAATAGATACCAATAAAATTATATTAATTTAGGCATCAGGAGGTTCAATGCTTTTGAATATTACATAAAACTGTAATTCAAGATAATACTGTCCAATTCTGATTGAACCATTATTCTAACCTTCTTCAATGTAAATATGCTTACATGTCCTCCAATAATAATAAAGTAATTATAGAGTAAAATAATAAATGTAATAATAACAACAATAAAATACATGTAATAATAATAACAATAACAACAACAACAACAAAGTAAAATAATAAATAATATTGACTTGAGTATAAGCCGGGGGAGACTTTTGCAGCCTAAAAAAAGGACTGAAAAACTAGGCTTATACTCGAGTATATACAGTATATACATACAATATACCATATTATTAGCATAGCACAATAGCACAATATAAGTATTATATATTATTATATCGTACTATAGCATTATATTGTAATATTATTAATAATATTACATGTAATATAAAATATATTATTATAATATTGTATTATTATTAGTAGTATTATATTGTATTATCTAATAGTTTTCCAAAATCTATAGTACATTATTCAAGCTGTTAAAGTCTCATTCCGTAATTTCCTATTTACCAAACACCTGCATAAAAAGCCAGGTCTTTTTTCTAAAAACAAGGAGGGATGGGGCCTGTCTGATGTCACTGGGGAGAGAGTTCCACAGCCAAGGGGCCACCACTGAGAAAGCTCTGTCTCTCATCCCAACCAATCACACTTTCGAAGAGGTTGGAGCAGGGACTCCCCAAATGGCAACCAATCCTCGCCAAGCATGATCAGTTGCTAAGAATCATTCTGGTCCAAAACATCTGGAAGATACTAGTAGCTGAGGAAAAACAATCCTGATCCAGATGGTTCCCAAACCTGTTGGACCATATTTGAAGAAAAGTTATTAACAATGAAATGAAGTTCATATGATGTATCCATACATGAATGACAAGCTCTAGTTAATTTAATATAACATTGCAGGATAATTGGTGAGATCTCTTGAGAACAGAAGATACAATGTATGTAATGACAAACCCCTTTCCCTCTTCATTAGTGTCCAAACTGTCTGGTATAGGAGATTGGCAGTTATATTTTTCCAGTGAGGGAAACTATGGGAACCAGTACCATAATTGTTCAAGGTTGTTTTTTTTTCTTGAAAAAGTGACAGGGACTAGCAAC